TTTTGTGAATTTGGGTGCTCTCTCTTTGCCTTTTGGTTAATTTGGCTAGGGGTTTGTCTATCTTGTTGATTTTTTCAAAGAGGAGTTTCCTTTCTTTATGGCAAAAGTTAGCCATTTAGGCAAAAAACTGCTCTTGCCTCAATTGCTGACAGTTACTGTTCAAACTGGACCAGAAGGATGCAAAAGAAAGTGCCTGCCAAACTCTGCCAAGACAAGGTAGGACAGTCCTTCAAAATTCCCTGCTTCTCAGAAATGTCTGTCAGATATATTAGTCCTTTAGGACAAAAATGGATGCCTCAACATTACAGAAAAACTTTGGGTGACTGTCCAGACACCCAGATGTCCCTGTCATTAGGTAACATTTCACCCTTCTGGGGTCTTTGAAGGAGTTGAAGACTAGATAGTCGTAGTTAAATGCTGTGGGGTGTCTTTCTGTACGCTGTGAATATATGTTGTTCCCATTTGATAAATAAGCTACTTTGGCCTATGGCAACTTAAAAGCAGACAGGAAATCCAAGGAGAGAAAAGGGAAGGTGAAGGGCAGAGTCTAGAGAAACCACAGCTGCCACCAGAAGCAAGATGTAAAAATACTAGTAAGCCACAGCCACGAGGCAACTTATAGATTAATGGAAACGGGTTACGTTATAAGAGCTAGCTAGCTAGCAAGAAGCCTGCCAGGACCAGAGAAAACTCTTGGCTATAGTTAAAGTTTTTCTTAGTTATGATAAAAGGCAAATTAGTTATAAAACTTTAAACTCACAAAGATAAGATAAATAATAGAATATTTTCTCTGATTTTGCCAAATACAAATGAAATGGATATTGTAACTGTAATTCTTACTTGATAACCATTTTGTTGTATACAATTTTACTATGTTACAGTTAAAACCTTCCTTTTCTATTTAGACAAAAGGGAGGAAATGATATGGAATAATCCTTCTGTATACTGTGAAAATGTGTTGCTCTCATTGTTAATAAAAGGGTGATTGGCTAATATATAGGTAGGCAGGATTTTCAGGGCAGAGAGAATGCTGGGAGGAAGAAGGGGGAATCTGCCAGGCAGTGGTGGTGCATGCCTTTAATCCCAGCACTCGGGAGGCAGAGGCAGATCTCTGTGAATTCGAGGCCAGCCTGGTCTACAGAGTGAGTTACAGAACAGGCTCCAAAACTACACAGAGAAACCCTGTCTCAAAACAAAAAACAAAAAACAAAAAAAAAAAGAAGGGGGAGTCAGAAGAGTGTCCATCCAGACACAGAGAGGAAACAGGAGATACAAGATGAAAGAGAGGTAATGCCACATGACAGAATGCAGAATAATAGAAATGGGTTAATTTAAGTTGTAAGAGTTATCTAGTAACAAGTCCAAGCTATCGGCTGAGCATTTATAATTAATATTAAGTATCTGTATGGTTACTTGGGAGTGCTTGCCGAGACACAGAGAAACTCTACCTACTGGGTGTCTCTAAGTTGTTCAGGCTAGCCTTCAACTTGTGGATCATCCTTGTCAGCCAGAGGAGCTAGAATTACAGGCAGGCACAACCACACCTGTATAAAAACTTCATTAACAAATTAGTGTTACTAAAATTACTTGAATGTAACCATACATTTTTTTAAGACAGTGCTAGATGTGATGCTGCAGACAGAGGCTGGTGCATCTCTATGTGTTTGAGGCCAGCCTGGTCTCCATAGTGAGCCCCCAGGACAGCCAGGGCTATAGAGACAAACCCTGTCTTGAAAAACCAAAAAGAAAAAGAAAGAAAGAAATTCACTTTCCCACCAACTACCAGGACATGGTGGCCCCTCATGTCCTCACTGTGTAAAAGGCCTCTGCTTCCTGTGTGATTCAGCTCATCCATGTCACACACTAAGAGACCAGAACAATGCTTTGAGGGTCTGCCTGCAATCTCCTGCCCTGTTCTGCCTCTCAGTGCCTCCCCTAGAAGCCTTGTTCACTCATCTCCGTCTGTGCTGGTCGGTTTTCTTGTCAGCCTGACACAGCAGGGTCATTTGGGAAGAGGGAGCCATCGCTGAGAAAAGGCTTCCTTTCCCTTTTGCTGGCGCACTGCCGACGCCCACGTCGGTGGGGATGTCTGAACTAAAGCATGTCTGCCCCCCGAAGTCCTGCTGTCTGACACACCTGGCTCTTGCACTGCCCTTTGCTCTGGCTGCTTCTGCACACGCGGTCACGCCAAGGCCACACAACTGTTTCCTGTTCCTTTCCACCCTCACCAGTATCTTATGTACTCAATGCCTTTAGGTTGCATGCACGTGTACAGGACGAGATAAAATAACTGCCGGGTCACAGAGCAGCTACAGAGATAAGCTTCATAAAAGCATTTGTAAGAGCAATACTTAGTCTGTGGGAAAATGACAGCATGGCAAGGTGGAGTACAGGACTAAAGACTCATTTACGCTCTGACGTTCACAGGTGCTGCTGTGACAACCTCATCCTTAACTGCCTCTCACAGCAGCAGGGGAGATGCATTTCCTTAAGAGACAGCAGGGTTAGGGCTATAACTCAGTGGTAGAATGAATGCCTAATAGATAGAAAAAAACCAAACATTTGGTTAACACCAACTACTTTTAAATAGATAAAGAAAGAAGTCCAGAAAGATATATAAAAATGTTAATGAGCTAGTTTTGGGTAATTGGATTTTTTTTTTAATATTATGAATTTAAATTAATTTTTTTTTCACTTACTATAAGAACGTATCAGACTGGGTGTGGTAGCCCCGTCTTTAATCCCAGTACTAGAGGCAGAGGCAGGTGGATCTCTGTGAGACCAACCAGGTCTACAGAGTGAGTTCCAGTACAGCCAACGCTACATAGAGAAGCCCTGTCTCAAAACAAAACAAAAGAATGTATTACTTCTGTAACAAAATTTAAAGTCTTTGAAAATGTTTAAACATTTCCTATTACTCAGTTATTATACAATGTTTTCGTATTTTCTGAGATTAACTCATCTTTGGCCTTTGGGTTATTTAGTCCTTTCTAAAATATAGATAGGAAACCACTCCAACAATGCTACTGAACTTTAAGGACTCACTCAAGGGCAAGCAACACAAATGTTAAGTCTGCTCATCAGACACATACCACCACAGTTAAGAAACCCACATACCTTTAGAAAATTGGGGTCCTCTTTGCTCATATAAAAAGGATCATATTCTTTTGGATCATAATGCTCTATAAATGCATTTCCCTATAAAAAGGAAATAAAACCACACATAAGAAGTACACGATTAATTTTGATGCTATCAGAACTCAAGAGTTACAGTTTGTATCCCCTGCCCTCAATCATAAGGGACAAATGGGAGGCATTGGGCTACAGTCCCGGCCCTACACAGTTCCAGTCTTACGCTTCAGAATAGCACCAATGCCTTAATGCCATCCCTTCATGCACAAGACATTTCAGTGGGTGAAGGCCCTAGCACTGATGACCTCAGTTCAATCCCCAGAACTAACAGTGTGGAAAGAGAACCCTGACTTCCCTGAGAGCTCATCACACACACACACACACACACACACACACACACACACACACACACACACACGATAAATACAATTTAATTTAAATTAAAAGAATATATTGTCGGCTGGAGAGATGGCTCAGCGGTTAAGAGCACTGGCTGCTCTTCCAGAGGTCCTGAGTTCAACTCCCAGCAACCACATGGTGGCTCACAACCATCTGTAATGAGATCCGGCACGTAGGCAGAACACTGTATACATAATACACAATAAACAAATCTTTAAAAAAAAGAATATATTGTCTATATCAGAGTATAGATGGTACATAAACAGAAGAGAGAGAGGCAGTGTGGTGGTATTATGTTCCCCAAAATATTGTGTACCTTAATAAACTTATCTGGGGTCAGAGAACAGAAAAGCCA